AAAAAAAAAAAAAAAAGAATCACATGAGCGTCGTTGTCACTTCACAAATGGCCTCCGGAATGACAAAATAGCGGGATAGTTTTTTGGAACCCTGTTTCAGCTCTGAGAGCTGCGCCCAGTGGCCAGGCTGGCCACTGGGTCTGAAAACGGCCTGTGGCCGAAGGAGTGAAATTCGCCCGGCACCTTGCAGAGGGCATCTGCACGGCCAAGCAGGTGGGCGGCCTTCCAGGCAGATTTGGCCAGACTGTGCCCCCGGCGAAACGGCCTAGAATTGTTGGGAAGTAGCAAGCAAAGGTCTTGCAACAACCGTAGAAGATGGAACGGATGCATCCACAAAGTCGATACATGCAGCACCAGAGGTCTTTTGGAGTCTGTGCAGGTGAGGGATTGGCAAGAGGGTATTTTACTATTTTTCTCAGTTCTTGCAAATGGCGCAGTAGGGAAAGGGTCCAATAAGCTTCCTGCCTGGGACTGATGTCTTAACCAATTCACGCTTTGCCTTCGCTGCTTTTCATCTCCCCCCCCCCCCCCCCCTCCCTCCGGAGATGTGGGCCTCTCTCTCTTTATCAGGAAAAAAGGTTATGCAACCCCAGTTTTGGCCAGTGGTGCATGCACCTGATTCACACTTACAAGCCCTATGAGGATGAAAGGAAGAGGGAAAAAAAAAAAGAAAAAAAGTAACACTGGGGGCGACGGAGGGACCATAGTAGTGATTGATGTCAGACATCACAAAGGGTCCAATGGAGAACACAGATTTGATTGATCATTCACACGACGTCCATCCAGGTCGTAGTTGCCAAGCCTCTGCCGGCTTACTTGCAGTCGCTAACTAAGGACCTCCTTGAGAGCTGTATGCGAGGAAACTTGCACACACAGTTCGGGAAAGGCTCTCTGATTCAAAGTCTGATTGCGAGTCTGATTCTGATTTACCTTTCAGTAGATTTCACTTGTTGTGGAATGAGATATAAATCATCTGAAAAAAAAAAAAGAGAAAAGAAGGAAAAAAAAAAGAAGATATGAGTAATGTGAAGATGGTGCAACTGCCTGACAGGCTGTGATGAGCAGTCAGATATTATGTACCTTGCGTGAAAAGCTTTTGAAGCTTCGAGAATGTGATAGTCAAAGGGAGAATTTCTGAATTTGAATTGAAGCAACTCGTATTCCCCCGAAACCTGGAAAGAGCGGAAAAGCGTCCCCTGGGAGTATCATGCTTCCAGGACAGGATCAGGATTGCACAAGAAGTCCTTTGAATGATCTTCGAAGTTCGAACTGATTTACAAACCCCGCTTTCCCACGTATTCACACGGCATATGGGCTTGTGTAATGCTAACCCCAGAGTATGAGGAGCTGTACTGTGATGGTGAGCAAAAAGAGAGAACAAGAGGAGGAGAGGTGAAACAAGAAGACAGAAAGGCGGAAGGATAAGCAAGCAAATGGTTTTCTACCGTAATTCTTCCTAAAGTATAGTAAATTTCTTCCCATCTTATAAAGACAGACGAACCATAATTGTTACTCCTATCAAAATTCTTCATGTTAAATGATTTATTTCTAATGAAGATAATAATTGCATAAAATATTCTGGATAGGGTGATTGACACTGATTGTTGCATTTGATTGTGCTGAAACTTTGAAAATATAGGGTCATAATAAAAGGGGAGGAGCCTGGCTTGGACCATCATGTGATTGTGATGGCATGGTATCTGAGATAATGAGATAAACTTTTATGCCGGTCGTCAAGCGCTGTTTTGTTCAAGAGCGTTGTTGATTGAAAAAAGTTACATGGCGTTTTTCGTGCGCACTGCACAGTCAGTTTTGGAAGATCAAGCCATGTCACTTCTCCTTTTTCTTCTCTTCAAAATTCAAATGCTTTTTTTCTTTCTTTTTTGTCGAGGAGCCTTGTTGATCGAAGAAGAGGTTTGTGGGATTTTCATACACATTAATGTAATAATACAGTTAAGATTCTTAGGAAAGGTCTGGCATTTCAGTGATTTCACTAGTACTTTTTATTTTTCAGAAAGTGATTTTTCAGATATCTGACATGCCCTCCCTCAATCTGATTGTCTTGGAACCAGACAAAGCCCCATGGCCATGGTGATGTGCACAGGCTTCTGTACACGAGCGGCCTCTTGCCGAAATGGTAAGACGATGTTGCCCATACCACTAAAGCTCCTTGTTGCACACATTGCTTTATCTGAGTAACATGATGACTAGACATTATCGCCAAACGTAATTGCCAATTACATTCTGGCAAAAAGATGTTGCTGCTAAAACGCACGCTTACGTTCAAAGGTCCTTGTTTCCACTTATATTGGTGTTTGTGGTCTTTCTGCGGTCTCTTGTTTCGTCATCTTATTATTTCCTTTTTTTTTGTTTTTGTCTTTCCACATCTTTGATGGCTGGTTTGATCACTGAAGAGGTACAAGAGATCTGGCTTTCATGCGTACTGCCTCGACAAAAAAAACCACTTGCACAAGCATGCAAAAATAGCACCCAATACAAGAACACCCGTGTTGTAGCGAACAATCGAATGAGTGGAAGTGCACACCCAGGCTGTCATAGAGAGACACTCGTGAGATTTTTAAGGCGATGTTTAAAGGCTGCAGCGTAGACTCTTTAATCGCTGAGCCGCGGATGGGTAAATGAGGAATATATCTGAGAATGAGATGGTGATGATAGTGATTTGACATCATTTCTTACCTTCTGCACAATGAATTTGGCTGTTGTATTGCGCGTTGGGCACGTGTATGAGACTATGAGTGCACGAGGATGCGGCCCTGGGTGACCATAGATCTTTCGATTGCCATTCAGCTGACGTGGATCTTGCCGTCCAAGAGGCAGAGAGAAAAAAAGGTAGTAACTATAGGAGGGGGCAGGCAAGACCCACATCAAGCTGAAGGGCCATTGCAAGATCTATGGCCACGGAGGGCCTCATCCTGATGCACTCATATATATGCCAGTTGCAATGAGGGACTGCCAACTCGATTCGTAGCATCCTTGGTGTTTCATTCCGTCTCATCTCTGTCAGAGTCTGTCGGCATTTCACATGGGGCTGTTCATTACATTGCCATTGTTTTTCATCCCAGCCTCTGACAACTGGAAGATGTTGTGGGATAAAGAACACAAAGGTCTATGCCATGATCGACGTCGGCGGTTTCCTTCGCAGCGGTGATGTGTTCTTTCCTGAGCAAACAGTCAGCATATGCTTTTCCGTTTCGGACTACTTGTTCGCAATCTCCACCGGAGCAGGGCGATCGATGTGGCAACGCTCTGCGACCTTCTCCTCTGCACGGCTACAGATACTGTTATACTTGGCTGCAGGTGTCACTATTTGTGCCAGATTCACTGCTGTAACCCCCTACGTGGAGGGGTGCCCCTCCCTCCCCTTCTGTGTGCACTCCTCCTGCACCAAGGCGTCTCGTATCATATCCATTTTGGAGCCAGATACATTACAATGAATTGAATGAACACACGCTTCCTTGGTGCAGGAGGAGTGTGTTCATTCAATTCATTGTAATGTATCTGGTCACGCTTTTTTTTTAGTGTAATAAAATGATGAGTGTTAATAATATTAGTATATTGTTTTTTTTTTTTGGGTGTAATAAAATGATGACCGTTAGTACTACTAAGGAAAGAGAGACCCAACCAACACTCATGGACGGGCACCCCTTACTCTTGCTTGTCTTTCCTTGCTTCGTCTCTCCTCTCCCTGTTTCTTCTTACCCTTTTCCCCCTTTCTCTGTCTGCCCTTATCCTGGCCGCTCTTGAACAGTCTGCTGTTATGCCAGACGGGTGTGTCGGCAACTCATTCTCGAGTCTCAACCAAAATCAGTGGAAGGTGGGCCTTACCTGAGAGGCTGAGAGGCACAGTATAAGGGAGAGAGCTAAAAGGATTAAGCAAAGAGAAACCGTGGAAAACAGTCGGAAGAAGGAAAGAAAAGAACGAACTCCGCAGAAGATATATGTGCTCTCTTGTTACTTGGTTGTATAGTAACAAAACAAATGTAGAGAACATTTGCAAAACAAATGCGGAGAAAACAGCAGCATAGGAACGCCAGAGTGGATGAAGAATGGACAGCTAGACATACCTTTTTTGAATTTTTTTTTTCTCGTTGACCATGCAACTGTCTGACATAACAGCACACAGAGTCGTCAATGGTCAGTTAGTCAGACCCTGCCAAAGAAGGGGGCAACTGTCTGTCATACACCCTGTGGAGCGCAAATGAAGGAGAGGAGCAGTGTCGTCAATGGTCAGTTAGTCAGACCCTGCCAAAGAAGGGGGCAAGTACGATAAGGGAGGAGATGGGGGGGGTAGGGCAGGGCGTACTAGATTGGTAGGGGGTTATAATTCCGACTGGCCTAGCTCTCAGTTGGTACACCGCTGAACTGAACTGTTGAAATTGAAAAACAGACCAGGTGCAGAGTTCGAACTCCACTGGAAGCAGATGAGCCAAATACTAGAATTCTGAAAAGAAAAGAAGAACATTGGTAGGTTATTCTCAATGCAACAGTCACCAGGGCGGCTCGAATGGGCCATTCCAATGGAGCGTTGGACTATGCGTTTAAACCACCAGTTCACCCATACCTGTTTTGAATATCCCAAAAATCAATTTGCCGAGCCTGAAAGTGCGCGGGTACTGGCCTCTTTGTGCTGGACCTGCTGCAAGCTGATGGACTGAAAAGCAGGCCGTGGGTCGTTTTTTGTTTTCAATTTTGTATCTCGTTTTTAATTTTTACTCCGTTTTCACTCATGTGCCACGCCAGTCAGGCTGAAGAATAAGACAAAAGGATGAATTGCATGGGCTGAAAAAAAAAAAANGCAATTGCAGTCAGATGCATTCTGGAAAGTGGTAGTGTGAGTATGCCCTAAGGGCCTTGCTCCACTACTCTGCAAATGTGCAARACGAGAGTGAATCTTCCATTAGAAGATGGAAAAAAACACAGCCATGATTTTTGTCGTTTCTGCATGTTGAGACTAGTGGAGGGATGCCCCTAAATATGGTCGGTTCCACAAAGATACACTGTAAGTTTCTGGAGTTTGTGGCCACATTCAGAGGGTCTGGCTCGTTGCTTCTCAAAATCAAACCAAAAAAAGGAAAAACGAAGTTGACGTTTCCTCCCGCCTATCACGGCAGGAGGGCGCCTGACATCACTGAGAGGACGTTTTGTCCCGTCAGTCGCGGGCTTAGGGCACTACCCACACTCAGGGCATACTCACACCACAGATTTCTTACGTATTTTTGGACGGAATTGCAACCAGATACATCTAGGTATGGCCGTGAAGGCTGTCAGATACATTTGAGATACTGCTAGTGTGAGTACGCCCTCAGATCCTTTTTTTTCTTGTCTTTTCGTCTTTTCTTTTGCCCCGACTTCGTTTTTTTTTTCTGGTTTTTTATTTCCTCACAATCCTTTTCCACCCCCCAAGTGGCGGGCCTCAGAAGTTTCTCTTTTTCTTTTCTCTTTTTATTTCTTTTCTTTTTTAGTCCCTTTTTCGAAGCTTGGCACTTCGGCTTTCATTGTCTGCCCTGTTTGTTGTTTTCACATTTGGTGTCCGCCCATCCATTGCACCACCAGAATAGAGGCCCCAAAGCTTTACCGGGCCTCTGCCGAAGCGCGCAGGCCCGGGTGCAGTTCACTGCAATAGCAGGGACAGGCAGGGGCGTGAACTGGTGGTTTAAAGTTTAAACTTTAAACTTTAAAGTCGAAGTCGCTGGAGTACATAGGTCTATGTTTTTGAAGGCAAGCCGTTATTGGTTTGTCTCTGGAGTGAATTTAGACCTGTGACTGGCTGTTAAGGGTTTCCTTGTGTGTCCAGTGGGGTTTTCCGCTGCTACTTATCTCCTGGTGGTGGTTCAAGTCTGTGCTTGACTTGCTTCAGGGTCAGCGCATCTGTGGCAGCACAACGCAACATGTCGATTTTGTGGCCTGTATCCACCACTACTTAAACCAGCAGTACATAAGAAAAAGGAGATTGAGCCTCTCCTGAAAAATAGGAGGGCCATAAACCGCCGATTCATTTTATCGATGGTCCATGTCCTTCGAATTTTTAGGAGAGGCTCAATTTGCTTTTCCGGATGTACTGGTGGTTTAACGATTCTGTTGAATGCAAGCTGATCTAGAGCGTTGGTATATCGATCTGCGTCTGCTCGTCTTTGTGTTTATTGATTATCTTTAGATCATTGTGGGTTATGGCAGGAAGACTGCAGGGTTGAAGTGGGTGCTATTTTTCCAGGACACAAATGGACTCCTTTTTAAGGTTAGTTAACTTATGTCTATGTCTCCATTTCTGCGATCCGGATTCCAGACCACTAGGAATGATTATTTGCTTTTTTTCTTTTCATTAATGTCTAATTTTTGACTAGGATGTACTACCACCCTTGATGCCCAGGCTGACTCTGGCTGTCCAGATGGCTTCGCCTGCCCAAGTCCCGATCAACCCCAGTATTAAACCAAAGTAAGCAATAACATGAAAAAGTTTGGTTTCGCTTCAAATCTGGGAAAAACTGCAAAAACAGCTGTTGTGCAAAATTAGTAAATTACGATACAAATTAATAAATTATTACTAATTACCGACAATTATTTGCTCTGCGTCAGAATTCCTCCATTTAAGCAGTGAACACCCTTTGCGATTTCTGCGAAGAAATTGCCATCCACAGTACGACATTTCCCTCCCCCGCCACCCCCCCCTCCCCCCCTTCGTTCAGAATTTCTGCAGCTCTGATATTTTCCATCCAAAGCCCCGTTTGGTTGTGGTTTTTGCTAGTTATGTATGTATTATTATTACGATTATTATACTAATTATAGTATTATACTATTATAGAATTATGTATAACTGGAGTCTGGAAAACGCCCTTTTTTTTTTATGTTATTGGCCGTGTTAACTGGGACTCTCTATTATTATGACTAAAGCCAGCAGAGTGCACTTTGTTGGTTGTCCATATTGGTGGTATTGATGTTTTCTGGGATGCAAAGTCAATACCAGCTTCACTGGGAGTAAGCGCTACACGAGGCTATGATGTGAATTCGATGGCTGTCCCGAGGAAGGCAAAGGAGGCCATAGGAGGCATTACCGAGCTGACACATACGGACGGTGAGGGTTGAAAAAAGGGTTTTGGAGCTCTGCTTCATCTGGCAGTATTGTGATTCCATCAGGATTCGAACCTGTGATCTGTTTTACTAGTACTTATATCATTATACCATTTATAATTTTATAAAATTTATATGTATGTATTATTCAGCCACATGGGCTGGAGGCAAAAGAAGGCATTTGCACGCTGATGCATAAGCACAGTGAGCATTAGAAAGTGGGTTCTGCAGCTGCTTCCTGCTGCATCTGTTTCTTGAAAAGGAGGTTAGCACTGGCGTTATTGTATTCGTCTGATTCGATTCAACCTCGTGATCTGGTTTACTAATAGTTATGTGTGTGTGCGAAGCTGCATGTGGTCTTATTTCTGCCTCTACTTTTTCAGTGCCGAAGTTGTCCTTCATTTACTCTCTGTGTCTCTCACTCCTCCTTTCCCTCCCCCTCTCTCTCTCTCTCTCTCTCTCTCTCTCTCTCTCTCTCTCTCTCTCTCTCTCTCTCTCTCACACACACACACACACACACACTCTCTCTCTGTAGGTTGATTTGTGGAGAGGATCGTGATCTGGTTTACTAATAGTTATGTGTGTGTGCGAAGCTGCATGTGGTCTTATTTCTGCCTCTACTTTTTCAGTGCCGAAGTTGTCCATTTACTCTCTGTGTCTCTCACTCCTCCTTTCCCTCCCTCTCTCTCTCTCTCTCTCTCTCTCTCTCTCTCTCTCTCTCTCTCTCTCTCTCTCTCTCTCTCTCTCTNTCTCTCTCTCTCTCTCTCTCTCTCTCTCTCTCTCTCTCTCTCTCTCTCTCTCTCTCTCTCTCTCCCTCTCTCTCTCTCTCTCACTCTCTCTCTCTGTAGGTTGATTTATGGAGAGGCTTATACAGAGTTCCTCAGTGCTTGTGAGAATGTAAGTGAAAAATTGAACGATCCTGAAATTCCAAAATACAATTGGAAAGTTGCTTGTGAGGATGTAAGTGAAAAGATTCATGATCCTGAAAGTTGCATTTTTTTTTGTGTGTGTCGGGGACCCTTGCCTCTTTTTTGACCCGTCGGGTTTTGCCGGGCCAACCCCCCTTCTGCCCAACTGGCGTGGGCGTGCCGGGCCGGGCGACGGCCCAACATAGACCATTTCTCCTTTTGTGCAGGGCCTATGCTCTAATCTTCTCTGCATGGTTCCAATTTTTACCGGACGGCCCAAGGACACTGGCGGTTTATCTTGATAATCTTAGGCTGTGATTGCATTTCAAATTTTGGCAAAGGATGTGTTGACTGAACCTGAACATCCTCTTTTGTTTTTTCCCCCACAGCGTTTCATGTACTTGTCCCTTTTCGGCTCTGATTCGTCTCTGAAACAGCTGTTTGGTTTTCTTTCCGTGTCTTTTGCGGCGAACACCCCAGGAAGGAGAATGGTCATAAATGTGGAGTATAATCAGCTCGACCCGCTGTTGAGAGCCACAGGTCGCCCGGAAGGTGATGTCAATGATGAATCAGGGTTCTCTCCGTTCCCCGGAAACATCAATCAGGTGAGGAAGGCCAACTGATTATGATGATGCTGAATCCAAATACTCGATCTCACATCGAGCATCCTACTCGCTATGGTCAATCAGGTCCGACAGCTGTAGTCATCCCGGTTTCTGCCTCAGGGATTACACGACGACGCCTCTCCAAGGGAGGTATCATCCTTGTGGCATGCCATCCAGTCAGGCCCACCGTTGTTCGTCGGAGTAAAGGGTCTTTTTCTTCCAATGGATGTACGGCCTTCTCCTCCTCCATGAGGGTGGCCTACTGGATTCATTGCTGTACCTCTTTACTTTTTGGCAATCGGTTATTATCCCTTGAGAAGTTGAAAGTATAATGATACCCGTGCCTCCCATCACTTTAGGTGTATCTTGATAGCCGTCAACTCCTTAAACCTGGTTTGCTAATCCGTCTTAGTTGTTAAGCCACCAGAGATCGCCGGCTCAATTCTGCGCAGGGCAGGATCAACGGAATGGTACTCAACATGGCCTGACCATGCTCACAGTTAGTCACCCTTTCTTGAATCACCAGTACCCGGCCCGGGTGAACGCCTTCCGGAACGTACATGCGTCAGTTTCCCAAGGTTTTGGAAAAACATAGAAGCAGCCAAAAAAAACGTAGATCCGAGAGCTCTTTCCGATCATTGCGCCGTTTTTTTTTGTCGTCTTTTCCTCGCCTTTTCCTTTTCTGTCACCTGATAAGGATGATTTTGAGAACTCTTACGGATGGCTTCGCTCCTTTGTTTTTTTAAAGTCTAATTTATTTGACACCCAGGAAACGTAATCATTGAAAGAGACAGCTTCCACTACAATAGGCATAAAGGCATGATGATTGATAATTTGATACCACAAAGTTCACTAGCTTGACCCTAGTAAACTCCTTCAATTGCCCGTTTGATGAAAATGGAAGTCCGATTTAAACGACCAGGTACGGCATCACATTTGACACCTAGGGAAGGTACTGCCCAACTGTGAAGTACAGCAGCAGCAGATGCTATCATCATATACCTAAATGTGTTTTCTATTGGCTGGTACAACCACTCTATTATCTCTTTTTGTACTTCGAATAAACGTAATTGAAAGCCGACGAGCGGAAAAAGGGATTTGAACCCTTGTTAATGCCTTTTCCTTTTTGTCCTTGGGGACGTCCGTTAAAATTGGAACGATACAGAGAAGATTAGCATGGCGCCT